CTCTCTCTCTCACACACACACACACACACACACACACACACACACACACACACACACACACACACACTCACATACACACTCACATACAGTCTCCTGTCTATTAATGGGGAGTGCCACGTGCTCAAAACTGGGCCCAACGTCCCATGAACATAGTGAATAAAGCACCAACCGAAACCCCCCACACACACTCTCTTCGAGTTCTGTATAGCGAATATGACAAAACATACATACAACATAATCACTACCTTACCCTTCCCGAACCTAATAAACAAACGAAATACGGGCTGCGCACCCGTGCCCTCATAGTAAGTCAATGGGGGAAGTGGAGTTGATCTATCGACTTTCAGGGGGGAGGAGAGACCCTGCAGTGGCACAGACACAGACTGGAAGCCGACCTTTTTTAGGGGATGGCTCAAGCGGGGTTCCCAAAGGCGGTACAAGATTGTAGACAATAAGTGTCGCCCATTTCCCGTTCTTGTTACTAAAGACGAGGAGACATACTATGAACAGGAACGAGAATTGATACGACGAATGCGGGAACAGGCTGTGAGTGACCCATGTCGTATCAATGAAGGGAACGAGGGGAAGCTAATGGTGGGGGAGTCTGGATTTCTTTCACCTCAGGAGCAAGCTTTTATGGTGGAGTTAATGAAGAAAAGGCATCGCGCGTATGCTTTTGATGACGACCAACGCGGGAGGCTGGATGTGGACAAGATCCCAATGATCCGGATCCACACCGTACCGCACAAGCCGTGGAATCTAAGAGGCGCACGATACCCAAATCTTGACGAAAAAGAGGGTGGTGGACTACCTGGACGACAAGATGCGGACGCACGTTGCCGATTATTCCAGCGGACCGTATGCGTCCCTGTGGTTTTGTTTTGTCAAACCCAATGGAACGTTACGGTGAGTGCAGGATTTGCAACGGTTAAATGTTGTGGTAGTGCGGGATGCGGGAGGCTTGCCAAACGCAAACGCATTGTCTGAATCATGCGCGGGAAGACCTATAATTTCACTTATAGACCTTTACTCTGTGGGTATGACCAGTTTCCTGTATATCTGTCGGATACGTCGGAAACAGCGATGCACATGCTTAGAGGGCTAATTCACATGAATGTAGCCCCACAAGGATGAACTAATGCAGTAACGATGGTTCAAAGGCATATGATCCGGGCCATGCAAACGGTTACTCCACACATCACATAACCTTATATTGATGACTTGACGGTTAAAAGAGCGAAGAAAACGGAAGAAGATTAAGTTATGTCAGGAGTAAGGCGTTTTGTTTGGAAGCATGTCCCGGACCTTGATAAGGTCCTCAGTTTGCTAGAGGAGCAAGTGGGCCGAAATCCAGACACTGGATAAAAGAAGCTACCATCTTGAGATTTGTCTGCAATGAGAATGGTCGACGACCAGACGTAAAGAAGACAAACATGATTATCGAGTGACCTGTACCATTCCATTCGATAACAAATGTCAGGAGCTTCCTCAACACGTGTGGATTTTTGAGGAGCTTCATTAAGAACTTTACCGCCAAAATTGAGTATTTAAGGAAGCTGGTACGTTAGGATCAAGAGTGGGTTTGGGGTGAAGACCAAGATAAGGCAATGAAGGGAATGAAGGTGGAGTTCAAGGAAGGAGGTTTGGTACTAAGGGCGCCAGACTATGAGGCCACATATGTTAGACCTTTCATCATCGAGACGGATGCTAAACCAACTGCCATAGGAGGAGTCTTAATTCAACCTGATACTAAAGGAAAGGAGAGGTTGATGAGGTTTGAGAGTCGAACTCTGAATACAACTGAGAGAAACTACAATCAGTTCAAGAAGGAGGCACTCGCGGCTCTCCACTGCTTGAGGATCTTCCGGAACTATATTTTTGGCAAGAGGTTCATATTAAGGGTAGACCCAAGTGCGCTTGCTTGCTCCCTAAAGAATTGTACTCCATCAGATCCAACGATCGCCAGGTGGTTGACCTACATCTGAATGTTCAATTTTGAGTTGGAGAGGATTCCGAAAAGCAAGAATAGAGCAGATGGGTTGAGCCACATCAACAAGGACAAACCAGAGGAAGAAGTCATCGATGATACTCCACTGGTTGATGGGTTCTTGGATCAAGAGGAAGATGTCGATCCGCCTCCACATTAACAAGTGGTCCTTGCGAGTGCCTAGCTGTGTTGGTCAACCCATATGGTTAGCGCCAAGAGAGTATGAGCAGAATGCGGAGCTAGTCCTTAAGCCTTTCGAAGAAGAAGACCCATGGTAAGACAAAGACGTTCAGTGGATGGTGAGGTTAGCACTGGCATAAGAAATAAGGACGATAGAGGAAGGTCTTAATCAGGTAGAGAAACACGAAGAGTTGATGCGAGGAATATACCTCCTCACCAATACAGTTTTGCAAGGAGAGTTTTATCGGAGAGGCTCGTTGAATCCGACCGAGGTCGAGGATTTAGTCCCCGAAAGCCACAATGATGAATTTGAAGAAGGGGAGATTAAGGAAGCGCTTCATTCGGAAGAGTACGACGGGATCTACTTGGGGTTGGGACTGCTTCTATCGTATGAGATGAGGGATAGGGATGTGAGCACGAATGTCGAAAGATGAGGCACCATTATGTGGTAAGAGACAGTCATCTCTTCATGAAGAGACAAGTGAGAAATCCCAGGAGAGTTATTTGTGAAAAAAATCGGCAGATCGATATTGTGGCGTCACTATATGATGACATATCAGGAGGGCATCGAGGGATAAGTGCCACATGCGCCAAGATAAGCGAGCTCTATCATTGGGATGAGATGTTAGACATGGTCATTAAATACTGCCAATCTTGTATACCTTGTCAAAAGAGGTCGTCTCAGAGGGCAGGGGAACCGCTGCATCTAAGACTAGAAAGGGAGGTAGGTGTCGTTGTGCATATGGACCTGCTATTCATGCCATTTGGGGATAATAGTTATAACTACATCTTCAATGCACATGCTAATCCCACGAGCTTAATAGATGGTCGGACCATCCGTACGAAGACCGGTGCAATTTTGATGAGCTGCATCGAATAGTATTATCTGCGGTATCCCTTTGTAAAGGAATTCGTGATGGATAGAGGATCAAAATTTACTTGCTTGGAATTGCAAGCCTTGCTGTCAGGATATGGCGTGGTAGTTAATTGTACCACAACCTCGCATCCCCAAGCTAATGCATCGGTCGAGAGAGGGCATAGTACCATCACAAATCTCCTTGTCAAATGGACGGAAGGTAGACCTAACCAATAACCTAGGTATTTAAGGGCAACCTTCTTTGTCGAGAACGTCACTGTGAAAAGTACCACTAAGTACGAGCCTGTCACATTGTAGTATGAGAGACATGTCACCTTCCCAATTGAAAGCTTTCCGAAAACTTGGAGGCATCAGGATCTGGAGACCAACCTGTCTTTTGAGGAGTTTCTCGATATCCGAGCACAACGGTGAGAGCAATTGAGGAGAGGATCCAACAGGCGTCTAACCAGGTGGAAAGGAGTCGTATGGACGATAAAGCTTGATGGGATCAGATGACGCTCATACGTAAAACATGTTATTTGTTAAAATATGACATTATATTGTATCCTATTTCTAACGAATTCATTTTCGTTGCAGTCTAAGCAACGTAGGCACGCCCATCCAAGGCTTAACCACATGCGGAAGTGTGCGGAGATCCATACTTGTTAAACTGTATAAATGAGATCCCAAATCGTGAAGCGTGTTGAGATCCATACATGTTAAAGTTCATACACAAATAACGATAGGCACACCCGCCCATCCGGAAAACCTGTGCGGAAGTGTGTTGGGATCCTTACTTGTTAAACTTCAAGTGCATAAACGTGATGAGTCGGGTGTCATGATTGCATACTCGTTGGATAATATAATTCTTTAGGTTATCCCTAAGTTGTACAAGTATGTTCATCCTCTCGCCTCAGATGATTGTTTGGATGTTCGACGAGAGCCGGGGTACTAAGTCTTCTTTAGAGGAATTGGGGTAACGATAGGCACGACCATTCGGGAAGTTTGTTGCGGAAGTGTGTTGGGATCCATAGTTGTTCAACTTCAAGTTTATAAATGTGATGAACAATGTGTCATGATTGAATCCTTGTTGGATAATCCATCTGTTCAGGTTGTTCCTAACTTGTGCAGGCATACCAATCATCGCGCTTGAGACGGTTGTTTGGATGTTGTTGAGGTCCAGACTTCTTTAGAATACTTAGTTTGAGGATGGACACGCCCATCATCTCGCCCAATATGCGGAAGTGTGCTGAGATCCATACTTGTTTATAATAATTGTGATGAGCAAGGTGTCATGATTGTATCCTTGTTTGACATGTATGCTTTGAAAAATGTGACATTGAAAACTTCAAGTAAACAGTTACAGTAGCAATCGAAGTACAAGCAGTTAATATTGACATACAATTTCTTTTTTCTGGGCACGAACACGTGTAATCCAGGAGATCACACGTATGTGATTTCATGCGCATACAAGAGACGTGATGTCAGTGGTCTTTGACTCTTTGCATACTGTACCTCACACTCACACACTCGCCAAAATTTGTCTTGCATCCACACGCCAATTCTTCATATCGCACTACACACACTAATATTATTTTGAGGTCAATTATATGTACAACTTTGGTTGACCTTGACACAATTTGAAACGAGGAATGCAATGCGACGAATTGAATGGCACGAGAGACGAGCGGGACCTGACAAAGATTCCACAGTCAACACGTGACGCCAGACTGGCAGTGAGCATACCAAAAACAACTCAAACTTGCAACAATAAAAAAAAATAATGTCGTTGTGAAAGCGACAATTTAACAATGTCAGGATTAAGAAAATATAATCATTAAAAAATGAATTATTCTCAAACGAAAGTTTCTAAATCAATTGAATCCATCAAAGACAACGGCGTTCCAAGATACATGATGTCAATTCCCGTCTAATATGCGGAATATCTTTACAAAAGAACATAAAAGGCGGTCGATCACCACGTTGTAACAATGTCGCAAACATCAACATAAACACCCCGCAACTAACTCCATCCACTTGTCTTGGAACTCCCTCGACAACAACATTTATTTCTACCAACTTCCAACTTCTACCCGACCGCCTATGTAATTTTTGATGTTCCAAATACTGCACAATCAACTCGAAAACACTAAGGTAAAAACTAGAATCAGTTATAACGCGAGGAAAAAAATCGAAAATTTCAAGAACATTATCTCTCAAGTTGATGGAAAGGAGGATCCAGTGATCATTATCTTTATGGACAAGAACAAAGATAATATCATATTGAAGCAGATCCACGTTTTTAGCCCACCGTTCCACCCAACCGTGTCCTTGAAGTTGCAGTTTACTGTAGAAGAACGAATTAAAGATGAAGACTCGAAGGCCTGACGGAATGTCACATATTGCATATGCAGTCGTCCCTAATAGCGCAATGTAAAAAAATGACCACCTCATCATTCACCCTGTCGTCGATATGAGTGAGGATGAGAATATCTTTTGTTACAATTTGCAGCTGACCATCGCCGAGGGTAGAGAGAACAGTGTTAGGTGGCACCGAGTCTCGTTTAATGTCGTCCAAAACCCGCAAGCTTCGAGGCGCAGTCACTGCAGTGAATCTTCCCCTGCGTGTTCCAGGTGTTGTGGCCCGCAATGCACAACATCGAGCAAAGGACACGCGGGGTAGTGAGAAACGGAGTTCTAAGGATTCTCCTTTATTGCACGACGAGTAGCTAAGTATTTCTCATACATGGCCTGAACCCTAGTCACAGATCGTGGATATGTCCCTTTCTCTGGGGACAAAAGGGAAAGACACTCCTCAATGGCAGTGACATGCTCCTTCTTCCCGATCTCAACGTGAACCCCTAATGCCTTTAACATATCCTTGTGTTTTATCGTCAACCACGGGACTGTCTACAATATGTGTTCCGGATATTTCGAGGGCGTCCGTGTTCGAGAGGACCCTACCCTTGTACAACAGAAGAAAGACAAAACGAAAAATGAATACACGTTTCCCAACACGAACCCGATGAAAGTGACAATTTAAGAACCACGTAATCTAAAAGACGCAGGACCTATCCAATTACAGAACCCCGTAATCTAAAAGACGCAGGACCTATCCAATTACAAAACCCCGTTTTGTCATGACCACGAGCACGCCACAAAAGCGGAAGAAGGAGCATGTCACTGCCATTGAGGAGTGTCTTTCCCTTCCAATGAGGATATGTTAAACACATATCCTTTTTCCCAAAGTCTTTGTGTCATGACCACGAGCATGCCACATATCCTTTCTGAGCTCGACATCCCCGCCCTTCAGAAAGGAAAACCACAACAAGCCACAGAAGCGGAAGCCAAACATCCCCGAAGTCCGGATTCTGGCGGACTTTTTCCCAATCCAGGCACACAAAGACTGACTGCATCACGCATCGACATTGGAAGTGCAGATCCCGGCGGGCTAAAACCACCACTCTTTCCGAGAAAGAAAAAACATAATTCCATTTTGTGAGGGAACGCTTCAACAAAAACACACATGTTTTTGTTGTAGTATGCCCTGCACATGACCAGCGACCTGGCCGACTCACAGGAAGGTCGATCACATGTACATGGAATGAGTGGTGGCTGTAGTATGCTGGAATCGTGAGCTACCCGCATCGGCAGTCACTGCGGTCACTCGTTGTGTGTATGGTACTGAAGGTAGTCCGCCGACATCCGGACTTCGAAGGAAGCCGCACTCTCGCTCTTGGAAGCCTAGCCGCGCAGACAAAGTGGCGTTTCTCACAGCTTACCAGCCGGTTTGTCCCTCCTTTCCTTTGTCAGTGAAGTTGGCGCGGGCAAGGCCAGCACGTCGAGAGCTTGAGTGCCGACCCTAGATTTTTTCGGGGACGTGACATGTTGTTGTTCCCCGATCCCGCCTTCCCCTCCGCCGACGATGGTCGCCGACAGTATCGAAGAGTTCGGTGGCGAGAAAGCGATGGCAGATGCCACGGAAGGTTTGACGTTGCGAGGCTCGTCGACATCAGGCGTTGTGGACGGCTGCGCGGACACGTGGTGGTCGCCCAGGATGTCATCGATAACTTCGACGTCTATACGACCACTCGGTTTAGACAGGCTCAAATCAATAGGAGCCTCATTGAACCGGTGTTGGAGATCGACGACAGGCGTCAGTGCTTCGACCTCATAGTCATCATGTTCTGCCGAAAGGCTGCTGACCACCTGTGTCTCCATCTCCATTGTCGTCCCATTGTCGTTGTCATCATCCTCTCGATGTTCACCGTACAGCAGCGCGAATCCGTCAGACGGCTCCCCAAATCCGGCATCGTCGTCACTCACTATCTGTTCGTCGTCTCCAATATCGACGTCCCCTTTTGCCCCCTCCGTTCCTTCAAACAACTCACCCAACTTCGTTTCTCCCCCTTCCTCTCCTTCCTCCCCTTCCTCCTCTTCTTCCTCCCCTTCCTCCCCTTCTTCCTTCCCTTCCTCCCCTTCCTCTCCTTCCTCCCCTTCCTTCCCTTCCTCCATTACCCCCCTTCTTTCCCTTGCATGCAATCCAGCCACTTCTCACGAACCCGTGTCAAATTCTGACGACTGCCCTTCTGGCTCCACGCACGCTGCCGCTCCCGCCGGCACCACAATCCCTGGCCGCCCCCCCCTGCCTGAAGAAGTTCGGATGTCGACGAACTTCGCCGTCTCCCTGTCACCAGGCCCTCCACATGTACCCTCTTGCTCCAACCGAAGCGGTCGTCGCTCCCCCTCAAGCGGCGCATTCCCGTCCCTCACCACACCGCTGTCAATTGTGGGACCATGACTCGGCACCCCCACTCCCGACCAGCTCTGCGCAGCCGACCGCTGTGTCGGCACCTCAACCATTGTAGTTCGGATCCCGACGGACTTAAACGTTCCGCCCGAGCCGGCACGGAGAGCAACCAAGGCTGCCATCATCTCCCTCACCGAGCCGGCGGACGACGTAGGCGCGTCGGCGGACTTTGTCAATCTCTCTGGACCGGGACCTGTAGACTGCTGACGACCGAAGGCCTCCGCCGCTTCCTTCCGTTGTCGCGGTGTCGCCGTGAGACCCGCCCTCCCCACTAGACGGGACTTCTTTGCCACCCCCCGCCTTGTCGCCTTCCTCCCCATATGTAACCGGGTGAACGCGCTGAACGCGCGTTCACGTTCAAACGCGCGCGTTCATAACCCTCGGGGCCACGTTCAATCTCGTTCAAACGCGCTGCCCGCCACATGGCACAAAAAAATTGAACGCGACCCCGGAGGGCGCGCGCGCACGTTGTGGACTACGGGGTGGTGGGCCTTGTTCTACGAACCCCGAAAGTGCACCCCCCCCCAGCCCCCCAGAGGCCTACCCCCTCTACCGCATCACCCCCCGCCATATGTGAAAAGTCTTTTTTTGGGGGGGGGGGTGGGGGAATCCCCCTAACATGGGTCAGACGGCCCATGCAGGCTATCTGAAGGGTCCTCGCAGCCATGTGGCGCAGACCCCCCCACCAAAATCAAGGCAGGCAGTGAATATAAAGTAGAGCACGAGCTGCCCGAATATATACTCAAAATTCGAATTCAGGTCTGTGTTTCAGCAGTTATGGGTTGCTCACGTAGCTAGGGCCTGTTGGTTTCTACACGTGACTCCTAGGGCTTGGCTGCACTATTCACCAAATGTGCAAAACTAGAATGAATCTTCTGCAGAACATGGAATAACACGCCGCCATATGTTTTGTCTTTTGTGCATGTGGTGAGTAGAGGCCCTTAGGGCCATTGGACATATTCCTAAGAAAAGAAAAACGAGAAAAAAAGAAAAACAAGAAAAAAAAAAAAAGAGAAAAAAGAAAAACAAGAAGAAAAAAAAACGAGAAATTTTTCGTTTTTTTTTTCTTAGGAATAAGTGTAGTGGCCCTAAGGGCCTCTACTCACCACATGCACAAAAGACAAAACATATGGCGGCGTATTATTCCATGTTCTGCAAAAGATTGATTCTAGTCTTGCACATTTCGTGAGTAGTGCAGCCAAGCCCTAAGAGTCACGTGCAGAGACCAACAGGCCCTAGCTACGTGAGCAACCCATAATTGCTGAAACACAGACCTGAATTCGAATCTTGAGTATATATTTGGCCAGCTTGTTTTCTACTTCATATTCACCGCCTGACTTGATTTTGGTGGGGGGGTTTGCGGTACATGGTTGCGCGGACCCTTCAGATAGCCTGCATGGGCTGTCTGAGCCGTGTTAGGGGGATTCCCCCACCCCCCCGAAAAAAAAAAAAGGACCTTTCACACACACACACACACACACAGACGCACAAATTCACACACACACACA